GGTTCCTCGGCCGCGTCTCCGGGGCCCGTGGGGGGTTTTGTGCTTCTGTGCCTGTGTGGGGCCGTGTTTCTTTTCCCTCTCCCTTGGCAGCTCTTTTCAAGGGGTTGCTTTTCCTGCCGGCTGTTTTCCCTATGTTTTCCCGGCCCTGCTTTGCCCGGGGGTGTCTGTGATCCCGTGTTTTCCCCCCCCATCCGCTGCCAGAACGACCCTTGGCGTCTCTTTCAGCTTTTCTCGGGAAATGCTGGGGTTTCAGGTCAGCTCCTGCCACGTCCATCCCCCGAACGCAGTTTAAAGGGTGTTATTTTTCCACACTCCTCTGACAGAGGTTAAAAACTGAGATGATTTTCTTGTATTTATCAAACAGGCTTTTTTTTTTTTTTTTAATCCTTTCTCCACCACTCCTTGTGTGCATGAGATTTAGAAGATGTTTTATTAATGATGTCATGCTCTAGAGTTTAATTTCCATGTCTGCTTGTTGTGTTTTTTTCCCCCTCTTCTTTTTAGATAATTTAATCCCTTCACAGGAATTTAATCAGCCAATACTTGGAACAAAAAGGACAAAGATGATGTCAAGACAGGCCTTTCTCTGCAGTCTGGGCTCTCTGTATTTGTCCCTTCTGTTTGTGTTTCTTCTCATGGATGTTTATGCAAGGCCTGCAAATAATTCAGCCCTCAAAGAAAAGCCAGCAGACAGTAAAGATGAGAATGAGATCTTGCCCCCAGATCACTTGAATGGGGTCAAGATGGAGATGGATGGGCATCTGAACAAAGAGTTTCATCAAGAAGTTTTTCTAGGAAAAGAGATGGAAGAGTTTGAGGAAGATTCAGAACCCAGAAAAAACAGGAAGAAGCTCATGGTCATCTTTTCAAAGTAAGTTATATATGTTGACAAGGACAGTGCAGCCTCTTTGTCTGGTCTTTGGAGTAAAATTTGCACATTTTTCTGTAATATGTAGAAAATTGTAAAGATGGAGGGGGAAGTATCATACTCTTGAGTACTGTGTCCATGTTTTTAAGCTATTGGCATACCCATAGAATCTGTTCTCAGGAGTGAGAATGCAAGTTGAGAGTCACCATCAGTGTGCAGGGTTGGTGCTGTGGTTTAGTAAAGCTGATGACAAAACACACTGTGTGAAAACTTAGATCAGGTTTGTGCCAGCTAAGGAACTGTCAGATGCAGGGATGTCGGTAAACAGAATGGAAATCAAAGTCAGTGTGCACTTTCAGACACAAGGTGGCAGAATTGGCTTTATTTGTGTTTTTGTAGAAGCGGATTAATTTTGTTAGAAGAGCTTAAATTACACTGGTGCTCTTAATGTTGGTAATGTGGGGTTTTGCATGTACTCAAGATACAATGAGAAGATCTAATAGCTTTTTTTTTTCCCCTGTAAACTTTTCATTAACAAAGAAAAAATAACAGTAGTAACAATGAATAGTATTTTTTTTCTGGTGTGCTGTTGAGTGAAGACAGGTAAAGCAAACAGGCAAACCAGAGTGGAATCCTTTATGAGTTTGTCTGCTGTTCTGAGCATTCACTTCACTGGTGGGATGTATCCTAGAATCATGGAATGGTTTGGGCTTGAAGGGACCTCAAAGATCATCCAGTTCCAACCCCCTGCATGGGCAGGGACACCTCCCAGCAGCCCAGGCTGCTCCAAGCCCCATCCAACCTGCCCTTCAACACTGCCAGGGGCGGGGCAGCCACAGCTTCTCTGGGCAACCTGGGCCAGGCTCTCACCACCCTCAAAGTGAAGGATTTCCTCCTAATATTCAACTTAAGTCTCCCCTCTTCCAGTTTTAATCCATTCCGTCTCATCTCATCAGTCCCTGCCCTCGTCCCAAGCCCCTCCTCAGCTTTCCTGGAGCCCCTTCAGGCACTGGAAGGTGCTCTAAGGTCTCCCTGAAGCCTTCTCTTCTCCAGGCTGAACATCCCAACTCTCCCAGCCTGGCTCCAGAGCAGAGCTGCTCCAGCTCTTGGATCATCTCCGTGGCCCTTCTGTACAGTTATTAAGACTGTGCTTAGAAAGTTTTCTTCATTACTGTGTGTTTATTGGAAACATTTGACTGATGGTTAGGAAATGGTCATTCACAAATTGCAAACTCCATTTCTGACCCTGTTGGTTATGAAAGAGGTTGTCTTAGGAAGCTTTAAGTAATTGGATTTGAGATCAGCTTCACTCAGATACTCAAAGATGATCAGATTAGAAATGTAGAAGAGCATTCTGAGGAATCAGGTTGTTTTCTAGACATGGTTTTAAAGGCTGAGTGAAAAGAGAATACTGTGAACTTCTATGAAGGCTAGTAAGTCACTTCAGATCCTTGGGGAATATTTTGTTTGAAGACATAAAGGAAACAGACAGTGTGGTTTTAATTAATGACAGCTGAGATTCTGCAGCGTGCCAGGATGATAAAAAGTAGTCAGTTCAAACCACACGTTACTGTTTAATTGGGTTACTGACAATAAAACTGAAACAAGGCAGAAAAGCTCCCCAGACTGGGTTTTGCTTGGGCAAGCAAGTTGTATGTGGCTGAAAGAAAAAGTGGCATTTCAAAATTCTGCATTTCAGTTCCTGGAGGCACTTTGTACTGGGAGGATGAGCCCCACTTGTCTGCAGAAGTGGTCTGTGACAAGTGAACCATTAGTACCACATTGCCCTGTGACGTGAGGGCAGGGTGCAGAAAAATCTGGGTGTTTCTTTTTAGTCTTTGTTCCCTTCCAAAGGTGAGTGTTATAGTTATCTTCAGGTCAGGAGGATCTGTGAGGGCACCTTGACATCCTTTCTCGTACTTCTCATAACTGAAAATAAACCCACCAAAACCTACAAAAATTGCTGTTTTCAGTAGTTCGTGCTGAACGAGACAGTTATCTAAGGAAGCAGGGACAATCTTTGTCATCTCAGATGGTAGCCTCACAGCAGAACCATATCTTACATTGAATTTGTTGTAAATATTCCTGTTAAAAGCAGAAGTGCAGTTTAGGGTCACCCAGTGCCATGGGTGCCTGCTAGTACATGAAAATCTGGGTCGTTGGAGACTTCTTGTCAAGTGTGATAGCAGAACAAAGGTGCACTTTCATGGACTGGAGGAGCAATTAATGGGATGTTTGTTAACTGTTCTCCCTAGTTACAGTGGGGTTGGAGTGGGAAGTACAATCTGGAACCAGTAGGCTTGATTGCTTTGATCTGAGGAAACTAGAATGTTAAATGTTGAGGGGAAAAGGCTGTGTTTTCCCTGCTCGTTCTTGGTAGAACCTGTTCCACCTCAAAAACCACGCTCAGAAACCACCTGGTATGGGCAAGGAGGCACAAGTGGAATGTGACCATTTTACTTCTCTTGCCACTGAAATCTGCTAATCCTGAGCCTGCACAGATGTGTGGAAAGATGTGATACAATATAGGATCCGAGGGCTGGAGCAGCTCTTCTCTGGAGCCAGGCTGGGAGAGTTGGGGTGTTCAGCCTGGAGAAGAGAAGGCTCCAGGGAGACCTTAGAGCAGCTTCCAGTGCCTGAAGGGGCTCCAGGAAAGCTGGGGAGGGACTTGGGACAAGGGCAGGGAGTGAGAGGACAAGGGGAAATGGATTAAAACTGGAAATGGGAGACTGAGGTTGGAGAGGAGGAGGAAGTTGTGTGAGGGTAGTGAGATGTGAGACCCTGGCCCAGGCTGCCCAGGGAAGCTATGGCTGCCCCATCCCTGGCAGTGTTGAAGGGCAGGTTGGATGGGGCTTGGAGCAACCTGGGCTGGTGGGAGGTGTCCCTGCCCAAGCAGGGGTTGGGAATAGATGATCTTTGAGGTCCCTTCAAACCCAAACTATTCTATGATGTTGATTTCAAACCATTAATACTGCATTTATCAATAGAGCTAAGTATTGTAGAAGATTATATGAGAGGCTGTTATTTGTCTTAAGCTTTTAACATTTACTTGACATTTAAAGGCAAATCATATCTTTAATAACTTGAGTTTCAATGATAACAGTTCAGTACTGTTGAGGCAGATACAAATAGATAAAAAACCCAGAGTCAAGCTGTGGTTTTTTGTTGTGTGTTTCTTTGTAGCTTTGTTTTGTTTTTTAATTGAACAAAATTGGTTTTGATGTGTTTTAAATCAAATCTTGCCTCTTAAATGTTAGTAATGTCTTTTCAGTTTAAAATGCTTTTTTAATAAATACTTAACAATGTGCTCAAAGCCTGTTATTCTTTTGGTATTTGTTCTTCAACTGTAATCTTTATATTAACTTCTTTTTGGTGACTAAGCATGAATGGAATGGGGGGTATGGCAGTGTATCTTAAAATAACTCAGTCTTGGTAGAACATTCAGGAGTGGATTGTCAGATTGGATATTTACTGGTGATTTTATTCAGGTAGAAATAGTTTAGTTCTCCAGGTCAGTAACACTGAGTCCAAGTATATCATTTGAGAGAGCAAAGTGAACCTGATAAATCAGAAAGCTAATAGAGAACAAATGTACATGCTGAACTTTTCAGTGTGTTAAGAATTAAAAACTATCAGCTGTAATGTGTTCCCAAAGATCAAAGTATGATAGGGAAAACTTGGTTTGTTTGGTTTTATTGCTCTAGGAAGTACTCCAGTCAAAGTATCAAGTAGTTTGGAAGTCCTTACACCAAACTTACTCACCTATTTTCATTGTTTTTAATGGTCAGGACAGTTGTGATGTGATCTAGGCAGACCCAGGGAGGCAGCTCATCAGTAAACGTCAGAGATCTTGGCAGAGCAAGGTAAAAGGGACTTGGAAGGATTTTTTTAAAGCAGTGAAAGTCTGCAGCAGCTGGCAGGGGACAATTCTGAACCAACAGAAAATGAGCTAACATGCCATGAGGGATATGTGTGTGGCTTCCTCTACTTTAAAAACATACTCAAAACCATAATATTGAAATGAGTTAGCAGACAGCAAAGTATGGCTGAATGTTTTTCACTGACTAGTAACCTAGATGCCTTAATTAACTAAATTATGAAATAAATGTCTAACTTGCTACCTGTTTATTCTGTAGTTCAAAGAATGTACAACTTTTCAGAGAGGGTTATAAATACACTGTTTTCTGTAGCAACCTGTGTTTGTTATTGTTGAATAAAGTAATTGATTTAGAATCTAAAAATATCCCATCCTTCCCAATTCCCAGATCTAAATCCTGTTTGCTCTTCATCCACAGGGTGGATATAAACAATGATAAAAAGATAGGTGCAAAGGAGATGCAGCGCTGGATCATGGAGAAGACAGATGAGCATTTCCAAGAAGCTGTGGAAGAGAATAAAATGCACTTCCGAGCTGTGGACCCTGATGGTGATGGTAAGATGAAAGGTTCTTCTACCTCCTAGTGACTCCTGAAGTCAGTTGCTAGTAGCTAGAGCTCCTGGTGGCTCTCCAGATGTGCTGTGACAAAACCCAGGTTGCTTTGGTAGTCACCACAGGTTGGATTCATTCAGAAGACAAAGCAGGAAAGTGCTCCAGACAGTGTTGCAGTTCTGGGCTGACTCTTGTTATTGCACTTGTGGTCGTAGGAAATGGTAACAAGTTCAGTGCCAGGGATGGGGTGAGGATGGTGATGTAATTAGGTTATTTTCACAAGGTCTGTCTGGTGTAAAGAAACATCAAAGTGGAGCAGGTGGGAGTTTTCTTGTTTCTATTCATCAAGCTTCATGTGATGGTCAGAGAGCTGAACCAAAAGACTTTAGCATGCACCATTTTAGGCCATGGAACCAAAAAGTATATCATCATTTTATGTTATGTCTGAGACAAGGCTCTTTCTTATAGGTCATGTGTCCTGGGATGAATACAAAGTTAAATTTTTGGCAAGCAAGGGCTTTAATGAAAAAGAGATTGCAGAGAAGATCAAAAACAATGAAGAGCTGAAAATAGATGAAGAAAGTAAGTGCAGACTCTTGGTGTGTGTTTTTCTTCTACTTTCCTCAAACCTGAATGACAAAACTCTCCTTAGTAGAAGGGGAATATTTGAGTTGTTGTGCTTCTACACAGCTTTAGTAAGACAGAAATACTAGATTTCTTTCCAGCTCAAATCTGCCTTCTTGCTGTAAATACTTAGCACTGAAAACTCCTGGTTGCAAAGCACACTAGAAGTTATTAGGAGAAGGTTGCCTAATAATTGTTTCATGTGTCATCTAAGTTTTCTATAAGGATAGATTTGATTCTTTAGGTCACTGAGATAGATCCTTTCTTCCTTAATGAAACTTGACTTTGAATCTTGCTTGGTATAAATTTGGCAACTCTTAACAGAGAAATCTCCTCACTCCTCCCCATCTCCAAGTGTTGAAATTTGCTGTTAAGTAAAGCACAAAGCCTTAGCCTTTCCCTGCAGGAATTAGTCATTTAAAAATGGGTTATATTTTCCGTTTATCAAAAAGCAACTAAAATGCAAATGGGCCTTTGAATTTTCTGGCAGGGAAAACACCTGTGCAGCATGTTCTATGGCAGTGTCGTTAACTGCAGTTTACAGGAATGCTAATCAGATAAAAGATTTGGTGAAGAAGGGAAGTGTTGACATCATTTTTATACCAAGGTACAAGCCTTGTTTGGGAAAGTCTAGTTATCTGCTGCTTCCCGAGGGCGAGAGGCAAAACTTGTTTTCATGCTCTAGTATAGTGTGAAAGTTGCCTTTTTCAGTCTGTATAATAAAAAATAACTGAATGTATGGATCTTCAGGCACCTTCTGAATCTTGTGCAGAAACACACTAGGGTTTGGATGCCAGGCCAAAACCAGGGAGATGTTATTTAACTTCTGCTGCTAAGTTTCAACCCATGACTGATGGTTGAGTTTCATGGCAGACTGACAAAGAAAGGCAGGCAAAAAGGAGCTTACTTGTGACTGCTAACATTGGGACTTGGCTACAGTGGAAAACCATAAGCAAGTGATTTGATTATTCTGTGTTTCTTTGTGTCCTTGATATAACTAAAACTTGCCAGCTACAAACTTGTCCTAAGATTCGTATTAAGACTCTGAAGGGTTTCTTTGCTCTTCAAAAAAAACATCCACTGAAGACTTAACTCCTAATTGCAACTAGCAGTTAAAAAATGTAGATGTGACTCTTGGGGGGTTTTTTCCCCTCTTGTAACTCAACAACCAAAAGCATGCAGGAGCTATTTAAAGCAATTCTTAAATAAATAAAAAAGAAATGAATAGTATCTGAAGAATAGTCTTTCAGTGTTTGTGTTTGTTACTGTATTTTGCAGATAGCAGGGTGTGCTACAGATAGTATTTTTTCCAGTGTGTCATTTAGAAAATGCCTACACCAGAAAAAGAATACATTATGCAGGTTATTTATTCTTTTTTTTTTTTTTCCTGTTTGGTTATGTTCAGGACCATTAGGTGCACATAATGCTCACGTTGTGTGTTGTAGGGTGGTTTTTTTTCTTCAAGTCAGAGGCACGGTTTTAGAGGAAACTCATGTGCAAATTATGATTCTCAGTAGAGTTTAGGGGAAAAAAAAATCACTTTAAAAGTGCTTGTCTGCATGATGTAAGATGAAATGATAGTTGTGGGAATGTAAAGTGGTTTTGGTGCTGGCGTATCTGTTTGTACACAGGTGTCTGCTTTTGCTCCTTGCAGCAAAAATGCTTCCCTTTATTAAATTATAGTGATAACTGAAACATGTGCATGGTTTAGGTGTGAAGTCAGAATGCTGTCTGATGTAGACCAGGCAGCTAAAAGTAGTAATAAGCACTCGTATCCTTAAGTAATTGAATACTAAATGCATTTCTGTGTGCTTAGTTAAGCATCTGATCTTGAGTTGGTCTTAAATTTCTAGCACAGGAAGTTTTAGATAACCTGAAAGATCGGTGGTACCAAGCTGACAACCCACCTCCTGACCTGTTGTTGAATGAAGAAGAATTCTTGTCCTTTCTTCATCCAGAGCATAGCAGGGGAATGCTGAAGTTCATGGTGAAAGAAATCATCCGAGATCTGGGTATGCCATTTTAAAACACATTTCCTGGGAGCTGTTCCCTTGCAAGACATGGGGTTGGGCAGGTGATGTTGGGTCATTGCTCTATCATGGGGTCAGTAGAAAATTTTGGCACATCTTACTCAAATCTGTTGTACACATCAGATGTGGTGAGCAAGAAAAAACCAAACTGTTAGCACAAATGTTGGCATCTCGAAGGACTTGTCCATGCATCTCAAGGCTACACTTAGTCTCAAGTTGTTAAAGAACAGCACAGACCTTGTATGGTAGAAAGATCTGAGAACTTCATAAGGAGATCAGCAGATCAGCTGATACCACTTCACCCTCAAGTGCTGCTGCATTGTGGGGTCACTGCAGCACTAATAGAAATGGTTTTAATGAAGATTAAAATATTATAAAATATATTGATGAGAATGTTCCATGAGGAGGACACTGGTTGCTATGTACTTCCCCAGTACAGCCCCATGGTGACATACAGTCATGAAAGTGGAAATAAATAGGTGAAGTTTCTAAGAAAATAATGTTAAAAAAAAATATTCGTAAGTATTGGCACACTTTTATTTCTATTGAGCCAATAATGATGCATATTTGAAACTGTCAAAACACCTGCACTAAAAAGAAAGAGCTGTGACTTTGCTCATTGTTAGCTCCATAAATAGGAAGAGTTTCCACTGATATTTGGGTGCGTGACACGCACAGACAGAACAACTCCAGGACTTGCTTTTTTACTAGGGTTGATTTACCTGAATGCTGGTACAAGGGGAGACTGGACACAGATGCAGCAAAGTTTCTGTTGCAGTAGCTTGTTGAAATAATAAGCAGCAATTTAACTAAAATAAAAACCACCCAGTTTGCCCCCTGGTGAGGACCTTCAGGACCAGTAAAATTCTTTTTGCTTAGTTTATTGAGGAATCTATATTTCTTTAGCCTTCTCAAACACTGTGTGCACCACAATGCAAAGAGCTTTTGGCTGACCAAAGCTGAAAATGGTGGTGGTGTTGTCAGCTAGAGGCAGGATTGTTCTGAAACCAGGCAGACTGTACCAATGATCTCTCAGACATGAAGGAATTTCTCATTTTTAATGGGCATTGAGCAGACACTTCTCAGTTGCTGTGTGCTTCTCTTGTAGATCAAGATGGGGATAAGAAGCTTACCCTGTCAGAGTTCATTTCATTGCCTGTTGGCACTGTGGAGAACCAGCAAGCTCAAGATATTGATGATGACTGGGTAAAAGACAGAAGGAAGGAATTTGAGGAAGTCATTGATGCTAATCATGATGGTATTGTCACAATGGAAGAACTGGAGGTAAGTCTTCCTCAAAAAGCTGTCCTAGTGTTTTTAAAACCAGTAGCTGGTTTATAACTACAGGCTTGAAACTGCTTTACAGAATATGAATGACAGAACTATTTGAATGAATAGTAGGGGGTGGGTGTGTCTGTAAAATTTAGGATTACAGCATTGTTCTGTAGTGCTTGCATAGAGCATCATTATGCTTTTTGTCAAAGAGGAGGGGGAGTTTCCTAGCATAGCTAAGCTGTTAGGGCTTTTCTGTCACATAGACACTTGGATGGATTTGAAGTGCCTGAGGGCAAGTCACAGACTTCTTAATTTTGAATCGGTACTTCTTCACAAAACCCACCTGATTTGATAGTGAGTTTAGTTTGCAACCAAAATGTCAAAAATTATTTGATTGTAGACACTGGCATCAACTGAGAAAATCTGGGTTTCTATTAGAATAGCCAAGGAAGCAATGAATGGAAAAATAGCTCGGGGACAGATGTGGGCTTGTTCAGAAGATGTGCTGACACCAGTTTCCATGACTTAAGTTCACTTTGGGATTGCTTATTTTAATCTCATAATTGCTGAAGCTTACACAGAGCTAAGGTTCATAATTCTGATGTGTGAAACTGTGTTCTCAGTGGTTAAAAACCATTTTCTTACTTGTTTTAGGAATATATGGATCCTATGAATGAATATAATGCCCTAAATGAAGCAAAGCAGATGATAGCAGTAGCAGATGAAAATCAAAACCATCACTTAGAGCTGGAGGAGATCCTGAAATACAGTGAATACTTCACAGGGAGCAAGCTGATGGACTATGCACGTAATGTCCACGAGGAATTCTGACCCTGCTCACTTTTCCAGAGCTCTGAAGCACTTTCTTGCTTTCAAAAAAAAAAGAAAAAAGAAAGAAAAAAAGATCCAAGCCCAAACAGACAAAGTTCCTTTGCTGCTATCTGTGTTGTTTGCCTACGGTGTGTTGTCCTAGACTTAAAAACCCCTTCCGTCCATACGTAAGATCTTCAGTTCTCTTGCCTTCATTTTGAGGGAAAGAATGGCCCTTGAAGGGACTACATCAGTTCACCCTGGTTTGTACAGTTAACCCAGCTGAGGTTTCAGCTGCCTTTGGCTACTCATATTTGATGGAGGCTTCTTAATTGTTTAACTCCTTTTCTTGCCCTCGTAGCTGCTGGTCCATGGAAATCACAAATAACACTGAAAGATCCCGGCTTTAGTGAAGGGGTTTGTGGTTCAAATATGTTTGTTCTGACCTCATGAGAATATCCATACACAGACTGGCTCATCTTCCAGTGTGTTTATCAAGGCACCTCAACCTCCCCAAATTGTTAAGAATTTCATACAGGTTCTCCCTCCACTGCTGAGCTTTAGGAGCTGTGGGGGAGAACTTCTTTTAAATGTTAGAGAAATCCTTCTGTATCTACTTTTAAAAGAAAACAGGCTTTTGTGCTTGCAGCTGCACTGGGTATGTGAGAGACCTGAGGTGGTTTCTGTCTTAAAAATCCAATTTAATGAATGAAACAAGGGGGGAGGTTTTGTTGTGCATTTCTAGATGTTGCACAGAGCAATGGGATTCACCTACGATTATGCTTAACTAAAATTCACTGGTAAAACTAGTATAATTACTTTCCTCTGAGCAGATTAACAATGCTGATGTATTTGTGAATTATGAGGCTGGGGGAATTACAGGCTTTGCTGTTGAACTGCTTTTACCAGAGCCATGTACAGTCAGCACTTGGAAAGCTTTTTAATCAGCCTAGTTTTGGGTAATCTCTGAAAGCATCTTGCAACACAAGGGTTATATCCACTACTGTCTAAAATAGAACATTTATTTTTACTCTGGTTTCACCTTTACTGTAAAAACCCCTCTTTCTGAAGGGTTGCCTGAAAATCCAAGTGAGATGTTATATTTGATTAAATTTATTCTCTTAATATAATGTAAATACAAGTATTGCTGTCTGTTTCTGTTTTGGTAGTCCTTTTTGGTTTGTTTTTCTTAAAGAACTTGTGTCAGAGTCTTTTTACATACCTATATCTTTTTCATTAAATAGTTTTCTTCATGCTTTGGAAATGTTACTGGTTTTAGGTTGTCAGTGAATGGGAAGAACTGAAATATTCTCACCTCTCCCAGTGCCCCACACGTGCTTGGGTGCAGGGTGGTGAGATTTTCATGTGACTAGAATCTGGAGAGGTTCAAAATAAATTTCCCTGTCTAAAAAGGTGATGCTCAGCAGAAGTCATAGGAATGGCTGGTTTAGATTGATGGGTAAAAGGTCTGGGTTTTGCTTTGCTGTTGTTTTAACAAAGGCTTCATAAATATGCAGTGACCTGCCCTCCAGACTAGCACAAAATTCTACATGTGAGCACAGAATGTGATGGTTCACAATTCAGTTCAGACAGGTTTTAGCAATATTCTGATGTAATTGTGTAAATGTCCTGACTTCATTCTTGTATTATACTCCAGCTGTTTGCACAAGCTGATTATTTAGATGTAATTTGAGTGGCTAAGTTCTGTCTTTTCACACCTGATGCTCAGAGAGCAAGTGCTGGTTTGCAAAGGGATTCTTGAGCAGCTGAAATAGATGATGAGATTGGGAAATTTATCTGCCTAGAGAGGCAAAGACTATGCAGAATCTTCTGATAATGTGAGTGTGGGATCTCTTGAAAACTAAAAGATAACACAGTATTTAGCAACTGCAAAAATGTTGAAGTGTTTCCTGTTGTTGCAGTGTTAATCACTCCCCAGATAAATCTGAATCTTGAGGAACAACTGTGAAAAATCTCTTTTTAATGTCTGCACGGAGTGCTGCACCTGAATGTGTTTTGGTTTTCTCTGCCAGGAATTAGGATTACATGTTAACTAAAAGATGTAAGGATAAAGAGGACTGCATGGAGAGATTTGGAGGTACATGGGATTCTTCCTGTATTGGAATTCTAAAATTCAAATTCTTTTAGTTTGTCCTTAGAGTTAATAAAAAATTTTGTGTTTTTATATGCACTCAATCTTTGTCAGATTCTGTAGGAACCCCTACTTGCTTCTAATCCCTAAGGAATCAAGGGACTTGAAAGCCTTTCATTAAACACTAGTTATAAGTTCCAGGTTTGATTTTGTGGGTTTTTTTTCATGTACACAAACAATCTCCTGTTAATAGGACTCATTATCCAAGTGCCTCAATAGACACTTAAGGATGTGATCCATAGAAGTCGAATTCTTAAGATGGTACTTGGCTAACTGCTTTTAATAAATGAGCATTTAATTTATAGTAAAGGATATAATAAAGGATATAATAAGCATATCAGTGCTTCATCATCACTGCTGTGGTACTTGCTGAGTTTTCAGTTGATATCAGAGTTTTAACCTTACCTTGGTTGTGACCATCACGGGAGTTTGCATCTTCAGGTTTTTTTACTAGCAGTTGACTGACTGAATGGGTAAAGTCTGCTACTGTTTGTGAAAGAATTGGGGGAAGGAAAAACTCGTTAAATATTGTTGAGGGAGTGGCTCAGTCATGAGGTGTGAAGCCACTTAAGTGGCATTCAGGGTCCTACTACAGTAGGAAGAGCTTTGGATATTTCCTGCATACAGGCCCTACTCAGCTGGTGTGATTTGTTTCTCTGTCAGCTTTGCTCCCTTTTGGAAAGAATGGCTTTAAGGTATAGTGTTTTTGTTTGTGTGGTGGTGTTTTTTTTTCAAAATGTTTGGAAAATAGGAGAAGGGGAAAAAGAGTTACTCTTCTGCCTAACTTATCTCCCTCTCTTAAACTGTCCTGCAGAAAAGAAAGGAATGAAAGTTCTGGATAAAACATATTGCCACAATGTTGCTGTTCAGTGCTCCTGAATACTGCAGGCTAATTGGGATTCTAAATATACTTCTGTTCCAATCCAATGTCCTTGGCATTTAGATGTAAATAGACTGTAGATCTGCATAGCCTGGAAGTCTGGCTTTGTTTTTTAACAAAAGTAAATAAACCATCTTTGATTACTGTAGGATGTCTTGTTTGCTTGGGCCTTTGCGTGAGAGTTGCTCAAGTCTCTTAGAACTGCAAGATCTTAAATTTAGATCCTAGATCAGTGTGACCAAATTAGTAAAGTTCTGATAATGAGCCTGGAAAGTTAAACCCATTTCTCATTCCTGGTGTGATCACTTTTTCTCTCTGTGCTTGTGTTGGGTGAGGGCAGGACTGCAAAGCCAGGGTGCTGTTCCATCTCCTCCTTGGCTGCCCTGGTGTTGCTGGCTCACACAGCTGGCTGAGTGGGGAAGCCTGCCTGGGGCTTTGGATTCCAGAGTTAAATTAACATGCTTCTGTGGAACAAAACAAGTGTCAAAAGTAGCTGGTATGTGAATATTGCTACCTTTGCTTTCACAGAGCACACCTGTGCTGTGGGAGTAACAGTCCCTCTGAGTCAGGAGCTTTTCCTCATGGGCAATGCAGAGGGACAAGAGTCAAAATGGAGGCTGCCAGGGCTTCTCGTTGGTAGCTGCTGTTAGCACCTGAGGGCAGTGCCAAGATGCGTGATGGTTTGTGATTCTGCAGACTTCCTGATAAAAGTATTTGTGTTGGTTTTTGATGTGGCTGTAGAAGTCACAGGTCTGCCATTAGTGCAACCCAGGGGAGAGAATCAGTACTTTGCCTTTTAAGGAGCCAAACTGTGGGGCTGTGATTCGTTTTACCTGTGCCTCTCATCTGTAAAGATGCTCAGGCATTACCTCTGTATTGCTTTAAAGTGCTCTTAACAACAACAGGGATCATCTCTTCTAGTTCTCTGGGCACTCGGGGCCTGTACTTTAATCCTACATAGAGAGGTAGGTACCTGGCTGAAGGCACTGTGTTATGGCTACAAATAGAAACCTTTTTGATAGAATAGAAATCTTCTGGTGTGCTGTCTTTCTGCCTGTGAAAATCTCAGTAGTGAACTGCAAAAAAAAAAAGAAGTTTGTGAGGTTTGGGAAAAAGGAAGAGGGCGTGGAATTTCCCAGCAACCGACCTAGTTCGTTCTGTCACTTGCAATTTAGAATCACTTGTCCCAGAGTTTGTCACTACCAGAACTTAGCTGGGACAGGAGAGCTGCATTATGGTAGCTGTAGGTTTTTACTCTCATTTTTCTGCTGTTGTGTTGCTGCTGCTGGCAGTCAGCATTAGCCATTGCCTGGGATTGAAATGCAAAGAACATGAGCATCCTTTCAATGGAAAATGCTGCAAGGACTGTCCCCCTGGTAAGTAATTTTCACTGGATGTTGGTTGTATTTGCTCAATGTAATATATAGCAGGTAATAACCTACAGGTGGTAGAAAACAGCTTCATGGAAATATAATTCAAATGTAGGAAGTGTAACGTGGAGAAAAAACATTTTACAAGGGGGCTTTCCTGTCAGTCTATACTGACAAAGATTATTTCTATAACACTAAATTTAAGAGTCCTCTTTGAAAGAGCAACGTGTTCTTTAGCTTATGTGTGGCTTGGCTTCCTTAATGTGTTGGTCTGCTGCATTTTAATTATGGAAATACTGATTAGCTGAGAAAAGGTGGTAGCATTTATGTTGCTGTCCTCACCACTCGGCAGGTTGTCAGGCACCTGCTAGCCTAGTTTAGCTGCACAATTTCCAGCAATGCTGCAGGTGAAAACTTTCAGGGATTCTGCCGTGAATCTTAAAATAATCTGCTGAATGTTTTCAACCAGAGTTGTAAAATGGAACTGTCACTTTCTGGGAACTCTTATTCTAACGAAAGAAACGAAGGGAGTTTTCTTCTGGCAACAATCAGTTCCTCCTTCTACGTGGTCTTTGTTGTAGGTGAAAGAATGAAAGAGCGTTGCACTGCAACAAAAGACACGGAGTGTGTCCCCTGTCAAGATGAATACTTCAGCAGTGAGCACCACCACAACTTCTGCAACAGTTGTACCATCTGCAACACTAGTAAGTTGGCTGTAAAGTGGCTGTTTTGATAGGAATTTGGGAGTCAATCAGTCTGCTTTCTCATCTGGGTTCTTGTTTCTATAGCTGCCACCCTCCTGGTGGTCGAGCCTTCCAAGGGAAGGAGGCTTGTACTGCCTGAAAACTGGTGTCCTCAGATCAGCTGCTCTCTGCAGTTGTTCTCACACACAACAGATCATTTAGTTTTCTGCTTTCTTATCTCTTGCCCTTTATTCTGTTGTTGCTAGGGAAGGGGAGTGTGGAGGTGAAGAAGTGTGAGAAGACCTCTGACAGGATCTGCATGTGCCGTGCAGGGTACATGCCAGCTGCTGGACACAAGCTGGGAAGTGGTAAGTTAGAGATGGGTCAGACTCTCCAAACTTGCCTCCACTTCAGGTGAGGTGCTTGTTCTTTCCAGTGCAAAAGCTGTTGGTCATTTATCTCACTGCTATCTCAGGGTAGTTATCTGTTGCTCTGTGTTCCTGAGCTGTCAAAAATCTTATTGCTCTCCCTGTTAATATCCATGATTAGCCAGTCAAGGAAACCTTGCCAGTTGCAGGCTGAAATGAACCACTGAGCATGTCGTGTTACTTCTGACACAATGACTGTGTTTTTTAGAGGCTGTGTGGGTTACTTTGGGGCTATTGGATAAGCCATGAGTGTAATTACTGTGTAGCTGTCATATAGCTCTGTTGCTAACTGAACTCAAATGCTGCCTCTTCCTTTATTTTTTTTCCAGTGTGTACACCATGTCCTGAAGGATCTTATTCCATAGGGAGAAATGAAAACTGTCAGCCTTGGAGCAAGTACGTGTCACTGATCCAAACGTGTTCAGAGCAACATTTTGGGTTTACTCCTGTAGCAGTTAATGCCCAAGTTGTGTGTTGGGTGAATGTGCAGTGGGTGACTCTGAGGAATCCTGAGCAGTCTGTGCACTGACGTGGAGCATCTCTCTGCCTTCCACCCTTTTCTCCCTTCACCTGTGGCAATGACAGGATTCTCAGGCTTTTAAAAATCTCATGTAAAGGTTGGATGTTTTGCTTCTATAGCAAAAGGTTCCCTTGTGGAATGCAGCTGTGCTTCAAGGCTGCTACATGGACAGATGCAAAGAGAAGCAGAACGTCAGGTTTTTTCCCTGTGATAACTTTGATCAGCTTAGTTGTTCTTGACATGTCTGTAGAATCTAGGAAAGGCGAAGCTTGAGTTTGTATTGATAAAACAAGACTTGTCAATGTTCACCAAGGGGATCACCTATGAAGTCATTACTGCAAATGTTTGAGAAGCTCCACTAATTTGTTTTACACCTCCAGCTGCAGCCTTCTTGGGAAAGATACTCTTCGACCAGGGACAAAAGCCAGCGATGCTGTGTGCAGCGACCACACCACGCAGCGAGCTGTAGCACAGGGTACAACTCCTGCTTTGAACCTTCCCACCACTGAGCACAAGAAGAATATGTCAACTCCAGTATTCCCACCATTGAGACCCAGTGTCAATCCTTTCCCTTGCCCGGATAGGAACAGCCCCACCGAGACTAACTGGGGTAAGGACAGGAAATGGCCAAGGTTAGTTTCTCTGCACTCCTGCTGGTCAGGAGTTTTCACCTGAAACTGGTTTAGCTGGAAATGAAGTCCTGCTTTCTCAGAAGCCAGATCTGTGCCACGCACAGTTCAGTGAGACACACACAGCATTCCAGATTTCTTGCTAGTCTGCTTGGCAGCTGGGAATTCTAGGCATTGTGGTTCAGGGGTACTTGTGGATTTCTATGTTCCGTCTTCTGATACTGAAAAGCCACGGAAACTCCAGCTAGAACCACCACTCTCTATTAATCTGTTCTTCTGTTTTTCTTCTAGGGTCTTTATCACTTATCCTTGTTTGTCTGATACTGCTCACGGTGAGTGGAATGTCCATCCTCCTGTTGATTATCCAAGCAGTCAAAAAAAAGACCAAGAAGGGGCCTTGCAGAAACAACCATCCGGGTGAGTTTCTTTTGGTGAGGAAAAATGCATATGAAAGAGAATAATCAGGCCCCCCTGTTGGAACTTTTTGTTAATTGTTAATTTGTTTATTGTCCCAATCATAAGGAAATCTGCCTGGCTAAGTGGCACAGTGTCACCTGCAGTTAATTGCAGTGGTTGATCCTCTGTATAGTCCTGATGCACTGGAGGTCACAGTGTCTGAAGTTTTCATTCTTATAGAGCACAGATTGCACTGCTTGGAGCCCTGCAGAAGGAATCTCTCTGATTCAGGCTCATTCTAGCTTCCCACCCCTTAGGCCCTGCCAAAATTTTGTCATGATTTTGTGCAGGGAATTCTGTTCAGTACAGAGAGGATCCAGAATGAATGATCTTTAAAGAGCATATTGTGAAGTGTGTTGCCTCCATGGAAGTGAACTGTCTTGAAGTGTCTCCTGCAAACCCAGGAAAGGTTTGACTGAGAAGAGCTGAACTCTGTACTCAGAATTAAGTGGCAGCCTGGCTTTTGAGCCAGCCCAGGTTGCCTCCTGTTCTGCTCATGGAGCAATGGGAAAGTGTATTATCCCTGTTCCTTACACTTCTGAGGTTTCCTAGCACTGGCTGGAAAGACAAGCACTGCCCCAAATGTCACTCATAGGTCCCCAGTCATCCATGAAACTAGAAGTGCCCCTGGCTTCCCTTTCCTGCCCCTTCTACTCTGTACAGTATTTTTTTTATCTGTCTTTCAGGACCAGGAAGTGTTGGACTTCCTATCCAGGAAGAACAAATTGACTCCAATTCTAGTCTCATCAAAAACTGACTCCACATTACGTGACTGTTTCCTGCACTTCTGAGCCCATTGGTTGTAACGTGCTGTGACTGTTCTGTGGGTGTGTGTGGGTGTGTGTAACTGTTCAATTGCTCTGCCCTTCCTTTGGGTCCCTTGGGTGGCCTCTGTGGCATTCGAGCCCATGGGAGTAGCTGTTCTTGGTGCCCTCAGGTGATTCTTTCTCTTAGATCCTGTGCACAGTGTCCCCATTGCCAGGACTGAGTGGTTACAGTCCTCTGGGCATTTCTAGCCAATTCTGTGTGTTGTGATAGGCAATTGTCTTTGGGCTGAGGGGAGTGTTTCTGAAGCTGTAAGAGCTGATCACTGAGCAGACAGAAAAGCAGGGCAACCAAAAGACCTGCTTTGTGGCTGAGTTTATATCCTGGCAGTTCTGAGGTGCTCAGCAGAGCCTTCCTCTCCTTGCTCAGTGCAGGTACCTCCAGTGTTTCAGTCTAGCTCCCAAATAAACTCTCCTCATTTTAGGTGGACAATCTCCTCTGATAAACCTAGCCAGCTTCCTTTCTGCTTCCTTTTTTCAAGTTATTTCTTCTTGGTCAAGTTGACTGGCATGTGTCATGTCACCTGTGCCTCCAGTGATGTTCTCTGTTGGTAAGAGGCAAGAGCTGAACTTCTAACTTTTTTTGAGGGCTGCACTTGAGTAAAGATATGCAAAGATCATGTCACAGTGGGATAGATGCCTAAACTGTGCTCTGACCATTCACCTGGATGATCACCTTGTGTCAGTGGGACCTGTGTTCAGAACTGAAGAAGTGCCCTTGACTTGGTTTCTGTGCAGTTGGGAAGACCTGGTTGTTTGCCTGTACACTGGATGAAACTAATTTTACTTCTGTAATGTTTTTCCACAAGTTAGTTGGTCTGTAGTTGTGACAAGCATTCCAATTTTAGGAAGTTCAAAATGAGGGAAACCTGAAGTGTTCTTGTCAAGAGCTTTTGGTGTACTTCCAATACTTTGGTGTAAAGGTTTCAAGAAGAAGTAAACTTGAGAATTCTGTAATTCAGAAGTGGTTTTCACTTCAAATGTAACTCTTCAGTAAATAACTCATTAGAAACAGGTATTTTATAGACACAGCATATGCCAAAATATGCAACAGGAAATGTATTCAAGAATACAACGGGTGTCTAGAAACATGTTTTTAAACATATGTTTTCTTATATGTTATACATATGGTGTACTTAGCAGTGATTTCCTATTCTGAAGTGCATATACAATGTATATAAAACATTTGTATTATATACTAAATGTGGTAATGACTTCTTAAAATAAATTGTGGTAGCAGCTGGATGCTCCTGTGTGATGTGTAGAAGTGGTGAGTGCAGATGAGCAGAAATTTAACTCCAGTGTGTGTACAGTTCTCACAGGGAGCAGGATCACCAAATGGTTGGTTCTGTGGCTTAGTATTGAGATCCTGCTGTGCCCCTGGCTTTTTGTGCAACTCTCTGTAGTGGTTTATCTCAGTAAATGTGGCCTGGAAGGAGCTCTGACCTGGGAGCTGCTGGGACCTTCAAGGTGATAAGGCTCAGCCCCTTCAAAACCAGAGAGCCCCTGTTGTGAATCTGGAGGTCTTTGAGAGGGTATTGTGGCTTGAAGTGCTGTCATCTTGCAGTGAACTGGATGGCAAGGTGGAAGGAGCTGAAATGTGTTCCAGGAACACCAAAAAAAGCCTCGTGGAAATGATGCCTATCAAGTTTTTAGGTGGCACCTGAGAGATGATAAAGCACCTACCCTGTTTCCATGTGCACAGTGCAGATAACTACTGAGTTCTGAGGTTGTGGGTTATGTGATGAAGAGCCAGCCCACAGGAACAGATGACAGCAGAGCTCCTGTGTGGTGGGGCCTCATCAGCTTTTCCCACGAATCTGCCTTGTTTCCTGCCCTCTGGCTCAGCCCCAAGTTCTTGTGCCTTCCTACAGCCTCCCAGAGCTCTCCTGCAGAACCCTGGGCACAGGTTCCCTCTGGCAGAAGAAGGAACTGATACTGGCAGTGTCAGGGTAGCTGGGGGCAAGTTGCTTCTGCTCACCAGCATTTGGCAAACTGCAGACAGACACTTGATCCTGCTGGGAGGCTGAAGGCAGCAGCAGCAAACCCTCTCAGGCTGTCATTGCTGCCTCTTGTGCTCATCCCAACCTGCGCTGCATCCAATCTCTGTAATCCTGTCAGAAGACTTCAACCATAATAACATTTGGTAGGATTTGAGCCATTTTTTCTTTTCTATTTTTTTGTTTTTGAGGATTTGGGTGTTGGTGGATTGCAGGTTTAAATAAACTCACGTGGGTATTTCACTCTCAATAAAGGAAGAACATTTTAAATGATCACGGTCAGTCTTGTCACTCCTCTGCAAAAAACATCCTCAGATTTTTTGTTCCAATCCTCCCTTAAATGGCAGAAAGTAGTTAAAAATAGGCAGAGAATCTTGAACACATTGCTGCTGCCTCCTGCCCACATTTGTCTTCCTACATGCCAGAAATGAGACTTTCCCTTCTCAAACTATGGGCCTGTGTCACAAAGCAAGTTGCTGTTTTCAGGCACTTGAGAGGGACAGGGTTGTGCAGCTTCATCTAAGCTGATAAAGATGGGGCTGTACTGGAAGTTTTTTCCAGTGTAGTGGAGTTGAGATGTCAGTTCTTGATTTATGATGCAAACCAGTGCTGACTTTTAGTGTGAACTGCACTGGCAGTTGGAGTGTGTGGTAAACCCACACCACTTGAAATTGAGATGGTTGCTGCAGAGCCCTGATTGAGGAAGTCACTTAAGCCCATGCAAAACTGCCTGCATGATGTCACTGAAGTTTGGTTGTTGAAAGAACTCTCTGTAAAACCGACTAACAATTCCCTTGTGCTTCTGGGTGACAATAATGCCATTTTTAAAGCATTTGACTTCTTTTCACCTGCACCAGCCCTGAGTTTCAGGCCCCTTACCTTGTTTGTAATTAGCTACAGACAGGGCTAGGTCAGATGGCTGCAAAAAAAAGACAAAACAAGAGGAAAACAACCCCTCTTGTCTGTGGGAGTTCTATCTCCAGTATTTTTTCTCTCTCACACATGAGGCCATCACATAAGGCTGCCTGAAGTTTGAACAAGGCTAATTGTTTAAAATGAAGATTCATTTTGCTTATTGCACTAAGGCATTCAGTTTTGGAGAAGCACATCAGGGCAAGAACAGATGGTATTTGGGAGCCATGCTGGATAAATGAGCTGGGCTTTGCAGATCTTGAGCACTCCTTTCAGACTGCAGGTTGGGCAGTTAATGTATATTTCATGTTTCAGTACTTACATATTTGTTTTATAAAGAAGAAGTTCAGACGTTTACTCTTTTTATGGTCACTTCCTTTTTATTTTTTTAAATATATGTTGGTTTTCCCCTCCTGCTGCTGTGACTACCCTAGATCCTTTATCTCCTGTGTTTTCTCTTTGCATTTGCCACGGGAGGCTTCAGAAAAGTCACATCCGCTGGTCGATGCTGTGCCAGGTGCTGAGCTGAAAAGGAAGTGCACAGCTTGGTAACACCAGGGACCTGAGGGGATTTGCCTCTGTCTGGTTTGGTTTCCCTATGTAAAATGTCAGTGATGTTTCTACCTGCCTCAGCTCCACTGGGATTGTCTGCACAGAGTCACCTCTTGGTGGCCAGGCTGTGTCAACAACCTGGAGGAGACATGACTGGGGGGGACTTGTTCTGTAGGCTAAGGCAGAGCTCTGGTGCTCAAAGGAAGGACCTTTCTGCAAAGCCCTAATTGTTTTGGGGTGAGAATGTAACTGTCCTTGGGAACCCAAGCACTACATGAACCACACGTGCTCCTGCCACATTGTTTGGCTCCTGTGGCCCCAGCCTTACCTGGGTCGTGTTTGTTGGGCAGTAATTTTCCCTGTGTGCCCAAAGAGGGCAAGCACAGGCACTGCAGTTCCCCATGGACGGGCACTGCAGTTCCCCATGGACGGGCACTGCAGTTCCCCAGGGACGGGCACTGCAGCTCCCCAGGGACAGGCACTGCAGTTCCCCAGGGACAGGCACTGCAGTTCCCCAGAAACTGGCACTGCAGCTCCCCAGGGACAGGCACTGCAGTTCCCCAGGAACTGGCACTGCAGTTCCCCAGGGACAGGCACTGCAGTACCCCAGGAACAAGTACTGCAGTTCCCCAGGAACGGGCAGTGCAGTTCCCCAGGGACAGGCACTGCAGTGCCCCAGGAGCTGGAAACCCCCCAGCACAGCCAGTCTGAGCCACTGCAGAGTCTCCAAGCTGGCCTGAAGGTCACCAGGGATAAAAGGAAGACAAAATTTTGTTTTCTAGTTTCAGGCTGCAAATAAATTATTTGTCCTTAAGATTTTTTAAGCCCTAGTGTTTGAGCAGTGCTCTGTGAGCTGTCAATACTCATGATATCCTGAGGAGTTGATGTCCCTGTGCCACCAGCCTCACCCTGTGCTCTGACTGTTCCTCTGGGCTTTCTGCAGCCCATCAGAGCTCCTGCTCTGCCACAGGTTCCCTGGTGTGGCAAGTCACCTAGTGTGAGCAACATCTCTTAGAGCTCTCCCAAGATACTGAAGAGCTCTTTACTTAAAGACTGATTGGCAGTGGTTTCCCAAGAGTGCAGACAAGTTCTGCACAACAGAGTGTGAATCCTGTAGCTAACAATGGAGGTTTTTTTACAGTGGGATGAAATCAATTGAGGAGTTGGAGCTTACAAGGCAATTTGTACATCAGGCTAACAATAGCACCAGCTACTCAGAAATCACTTCTTGTGAACAGCCTCTTACTTGTAGGGGGGCTGAGTGGGTTCTTGGGTCACCCATTATGGGTAATCAGCAAAATCTCAATGTCAGGAAACCCAGTGGTCTCCCTGGGAACAATACTATCTCATTGATGACCTTAAGTTCAAAGAGTGTCATAAAGCCTTTGGGCTTGCAAGAACTAGTTATGTGTTTGGGAGGTGGTTATTCTCTTTGGTTTTCTCTTCTTTTTGTTCTTTCTGAAAGGTTAGTAATTTGGACAGTTCAGCAAACTCATGGTTCCAGTGGCGAGAAGCAGAAAAGGAGATTGCAAACTGAAGTTCCTGGTGACATGTATAAACTTCAGCTCATCCCTGGGTATCCGTAGGGTAGGGGAAAAGTAGAATTCACAGCCAGTTCTGTAAACACTCTTGGGAATGTGTTCCCTGAAGACAGGTACAGATTGCCACACCAGTGGCTTCAGTGGGTGGAAGAGTCCACTGGTTCTTCCTTCAAATCTCATCCTTCAGCATTCCTAGCTTTATGTGTGCAGGTCATGGTAGCACAGAGGAGGGAGAGGGATTAGATGTGTGACATCTTCTGTTCCATCTCTGTGCAGTTAGGTTGAAAGAAGCTCTGCAGGCCACAGAACCTCTGTGTGTGTGTGAAGATACAGACTGTGAGGTTTCCTCCCTTCTGAAGAGTCATGGTCAGTTATTGTCAGTTAATCCTGTAGCTGCTTCTGAATAAAACCACCAATCAGCCAGGTGATGAGGAGGGAGAACAATTGCTTATTAATGAGTGAAACAGGTGTTGAAGGATGGCTTGAGCAGCAAGGCCATGGGTCCTTGCAATCTCCCTGAGAGCTTAACACAAGTAGCAAGTGTACAAGCAATCTCTTTGCCAGCCTAACACAAGTGTGAGCAGTCTCTTTGTTACCTTAACAAAGGTAGGCCTTGGGCCTTGTAGATAAGGAAGTAACAAGGAAACTAACACAAGGACAAGATAGAGAAGTAGAATAATAGAGAATAAGGAAGAACTCTGTGTGTATGTTGCTATATTGAAGGTGGAGCATGGAAATAGAGCTATCCCATGATATCATGACTATCCAATGAAATCATGACACGTAGTTCTGGAAAAGGGTATAAAAGTAACACTGTGTATTCAACAAATTGAAGATTGCTTTATCAGTCACATTGCTTTTGGACTGCTCTCTTCCCTCTCTGCCCTTACAGGCATTTGTTCCCTCAATAGGTGCAGGGAGAGCTGGAAACACTCCTGGATCAGGCAGCAGCATGGAACCCAGCAGCATTGACATATATCACATGCAAGTCTGAGCAAGAAAGGGACTGACAGATGAAATGTCACTACCTGACATCAGAGACAGGTAAGGTTAGCTTTAGAAAAACCCCTAAGATTTTAAAGCCAGATAGTCAGGTTGCCTTGGAAAGGTCACTGCTGACTGTAGGAGATTTGGACTTGGTATGTACAGCTGTGGCCTGTGATCTGACTGTAAATGTTCCATCATCTAGCAGTATTTGTGCATGACTGTAATGCTTGAACAAGAATGAAAACATGTAGAGACCAATTCAGAGAAAAACAACATTCAAAAAAAGAGAGACTGAAATAAATGATTGGTTTCTGTTCTGGTAAACACCAGGTGCCAGGCACCACATGCACTAACTGCTCATCTGCAGCCTTTGCCAGGCTCAGGGTGCTCTTCTGTACCACCTGCCAGTTGTCTCAGTAGGCCCTTTGGAGGTCTCTGCTGTGTTTATGATGCTGAGTAAAAGTCTAATTCATGTTAATATTTGCTATTTAGGCAGTGCTAGCTCTTAATATCCATCTCTGAGCTTCAGGGGAATGGTCCATTCCCGCATCTGGAACCACTGCACTGTCCTTGTCCTTTCTGAGAGACATGGTCTAGTCTGTTGCTACTTCTCTGCTTCTAGAGATGAAGAGAGCAAAGCAAGTGTCAGGTGACTACATGCTAGTAGCCCTTCTGGTCTTGTAGGGACCCTCCACACTGCCTTTAATGAGACTGGAAGCCCCTGACCTCAAGGGCAGGTGCTCCTGAGATGAAGGAATGCTGATTTCAAGAAATTGAGCTCTCCTTCCTGGGTCTTTTGTTCTTGCTTTCTTCATGCAAGAGGTACTAAATACCTCTTTTGAAGGTTCTGAGAAAGACTGGCAGAGCCAGGGACAGTGTTGGGCTGAATGGGAAGGTCTGTCTCCTCCTGTCCATGCAGTGAGGAGCTTCTAAAAGTTGGTTGATGCCACCTTTCCCCCCTGTAGCCTGTGCTGAGGAAGGGGCAGAGAGAAGGAAAAGGTGGAAGGGAGAGTTTGGCTAGCACCCTGTTCACTGCTCTGCCTCCAGGAATTCTGCCTGCAGCCACAGTACAGGGCAGGGTGCTCCAGGGATTCTTTGCCTTATTATGTCAGGAGAAGTATTTTCAACTGCTGTTGCAGCCATTATTCCCTGGGGTGAGTCTTAGTGTAACCACAGGTGTCCTTATTATTAGCTCATTCCTGTAAGAGCCAGGGATAATAAAAATATCCTCAGAGCTGGTCAGGGTTGTGTGCAATTATGGCCATAACCACTCTGGAGGGTCCAAGTGCTTTGCCTAGTAACTCATCTTCACAGAATCATGGAATGGTCTGGAAGGGACCTTAAAGATCATCTATTCCCAACCCCCTGCATGGGCAGGGACACCTCCCACCAGCCCAGGCTGCTCCAAGCCCCATCCAACCTGCCCTTCAACACTGCCAGGGATGGGGCAGCCACAGCTTCCCTGGGCAACCTCCCTCATAGTGAAGAATTTCCTTCTAATGTCCAACCTAAGTCTCCTCTCTTCCAATTTTAATCCATTCCCCCTTGTCCTCTTACTACAGTTGATCAGAAGACCCTGCAGAGCTCTGGGGAGGGTGAGGCAGCTCTTTGTGTGCACCTTATTTTCTGTACAAGGGCAGCTCACTGAGCAGGACCTGGAAACCTTCCCTGTGCTGCCCAAGCCTTATGGTTCTGCTGTGAGGAAGAGCTGGGGGAAGGGCTCCTGACACTTTTGGGGGGACTGAGCCCCAGGACCGTGGTGCCCAGGCCCTGGTGGCCAGTGGGGCAGCAGCTGCAGCTGGTGTGTGTTTGCAGCAGGTCAGGCTGTGAGGAGGGAAGAGCAGGGCTGTGTGGGAAGAGCAGGGGATCTCCTGTCAGCCATAAGTACCAAGTAGGAGGCTTTTACTTTTTGAAACAGAAAAGTTGGCCTTCTAGGGACATTATGTGGGGAAAACTGATGGCAGAGACCTGTATTTTCTGCCTGCTTGCTGCTGGTTTGGAGATCATCTTTTGATGACCCTACTACTGCTTTTGATTTTCCCTACTACATGGAAGAGTAAGAAGCAGCTTTGCAGAGATGTTTTTAAAACTAGAAGGGTCTGTTGCACCCCAGCCCCATCTTGATGGTTTCCAGCTTGAGACAGGAACACAGGTAGATCCCTGAATAGACCAAAGAGTCAAGTGAAGAGTGTGGTGACTGACATTTGAGATCTAGAGATGAATCTTCAGGAAGGAAGTATAGAACACTGAAACCAGAGTGTTGGTGTCTGTGTGGGAAGTTAGTTCAGTCTCCTGTGGCTGTGTATTAAGGAATTAACAGGGCAAGAGTCAACTGCTGCAGGCATGGCATTTTCTAGAGGTACTCATCTCTTTTCACAAGTCTGACTTCCCTTTCTTGACCTATTAGTCATCTCATGCAGTGTGGAAAAGAATCAATTAAGAATTCCTTCTGCATCAGAATTAGTCTGTTAGTTGAGAATGAGGATGGATATTAAATACTGTTCACTGTGCATGCATAAAAGCAACCACCATCTACAGGGCTAGGAGCAAAATCTGGGGTGCAGGGAGGGATGGGGGCAATGCTTGCAAGCTGTCTGCACATGAAGAGATGGAAGCTTGTTTGGGGAAGGCAGGACATTTTGGAATTGAAACCCAGCAGCAGGTGATGGTTGCAGACAGCAGATCTGTGCCTCTGCATGATTTTGCTGAGCTGTTCTCTTTTGTTACCTCAGCCCCAGGGGCCTGGGGTTCAGAGGAGCTGAACGTGTCCCTGGAGAGCCCATTGCAGCTATTTTCAGTTTTGGCCCTAGGGCTGATCTTGCAGCCTGTGGGGAAGGCAGCATTCTTTCTCTGGGTTTCATGGTATCCATGTGGAGCTGCATTAGCTCTGGAAAAGAATTCAAAAGTCTCCTGATCCAGATTGAAAGTAGCTGGAAACAAGAGAACCAGACAATTGGAGTGGCTGGATAGACTTAATGCACATTCCATTCTGATAGTGAAATCCTTGAAGGTTCCTGACTCCATGAGGAGCTCCAAATCAGAATGGAATAGTCTGAGAGTTCCCATGCCAATTTAATTCCCATTCATTTTTATTTGCACATCAATTTTCAAAGCCTTTTGAAAAGGAAATGATGGGGTGCTGCTGGTTGATGGCTGCTCAGCCCCACTGGGGTTTTTTTAAGGTTTCATGACGTAGAAGAAAACATCCCCGCCCCTAGAGAAAGAAGAAGAAGGGTGCAGCCACAAGCCCAGTGCCCTCCCACAGTGTCAGGGGAAAGAATGCTTTGGCAGGGAAGACCTGCTG